AAAAGTCCATGATAAAATTTTGATTTTTCTTACCCCACAACCCCCTTGATAATAAACAGCAATTTTTATATTTTTGTTGGTTCTTGCTTGACCAGATGCAAGTGGACCTTTCAAACAAATTGGACAATTTCAAATGCCAATAATACCCATATGTGGGGGCCAGGGAGCAAAAATATAACACAAATATTATCCAGATTTCTGGAGAAATCCTGAGGACATTCATCTCTACTTAACAAATACATGACTAAATACAAAATATTTCCAAAATTATATTTCCTCTACTATTTTTTTCATATTTGTTCCTTTCATAACACACCATATCAAACAAGATCTGATATACATATCAGCTTAAACCACTGCATTTCAAAATCATAAGTTGACATAGTTGAAATAGATTCACCAGTAACGAGTTAGGTAGTTGTTAATTGGTAGCAAATGTCACTAATATTTTTGTCACAAACTATTTTTTTACAATAGTCAAATATACTCACTATGAGATGTCAGCACCATTTTCAAGCACTAACAACACAAGACCCAGTGCAGACTGAATATACAAGTATCATAATGACATAGAAATTTATCTTTGAATATCTTAAAGAATATTTTGTGAAAAAATAACATTATCTCATTTCCAGTTTATTTCAAAATTACCTTCCTCCAGTGGGTGTTTCTTCCTGTATATCTTCTTTGATTTTCTACAGATAACAATAACAACACAGAGCAGTATCCCCATGACAACAATGACTATCACCATGATGACTCCTATTTGTTCATCTGTTATCTCAATGCCACCATCTTGGTTAGCCTGTAAGTCATTCTCTGAGGAAAAGACGGAGAAAGACAATCAAATACTAGTATTTTGCATATCGGTACTTGTAAGTATTCTTTACTTTTTAAGATATTTTTTTAATTCACTTTCCTTTTTTGTCATATCTGTCCATGGATAATTTCATGCTTCACATACTTTAATCTAATGGCACATGGTATCACAAAAGCAACAAAATGAATAATTGTTCAAAAGTGTAACTTTAAGCCAAAAGCTACCAATACCTTTGACAAAAATCAAATAGTCTCAGTTATTTTTGGCAGTCATTAATTTGCCAGTGAGACTGCCCCCAAGAATAGTTGTTTTTTTTTTTTCTATCAGGTTTCACCCTGTACAAAGGTCTCAGATGTCACACTACTTACTTTTCTTGTTAGTGGGAACCTTGGGTTTGATTTCATCATCATTTGCATCAATATGGACAACAAGACCTGGATGTATATCCGTTACATTGGGCACTGGAAATAATAATGATAGTTAGTTTGTAATTTTTCATTCACTCTCATAATGAAGCTGTTGAACTTCATCAATATTGCTAAAAGTGAAAAAAAAATCTAAAAAATGAACAATAAAAAATATATATAACCTGTAAGTTTATCAACAGTTTTGGATAAGATAAAACTTGGTGATTAAGAGAATTTGTTGAAATTTAAAGAAGTCAGAAGAACTTTCTTTTTATTTCTCTCTTTTTTTCTACATTTTAATTTCTATTATAATAATCATTTTGTTTAGCTTATTCCTTCATCTTTTTTGATCGGTTTCCCACAAAATAAATGAATCGCCTATCAATGTAAACTAAAGATTTCTGATTGTCTTCTGGAAGACCCAGAAGACCGCCTCCGTCATCTCCTGAGATTTACCCTCGGCTCCTCCTTTATCAAAGGTCACATAGCTCCCGTTGCCTTCCTGGCTGCCCACAGTGTAGTTGACACCATGGAAATGGTCATCTTCCTCAGCAGAGAACACCTAGATTGAAAAGGGGACACTTAATTAACCAAAATGTCATTCTGGACTTTTGCACCCGACTAAGGCATCTACACAAAGTTGTATCTGAGAGTTGAGGACAGACAAGTATAAGTGTGTGCCTCTGTGTGTGTGTGTGTGTGTGTGTGTGTGTGTGTGTGTGTGTGTGTGTGGTGGAAGGGGATGGTGGGGTAAGAAAAATCTATTCATAAATGATAATGTGTAATACATCTATATATGTGAAATACGAGTGCTCATGATAATCAAGAACTCGGTTAAACATTCGAGCAAGTTCTAAGGATAAATCGTATTTAAAAGAGGCAATTGCGTCTTTCCATTATAATTCTCCAATAAGCTATATGCACCATCCAATCTACGTCTTTAAATACCCACCAAATATTTCTGGAACAGCAGTATCACGAAGAAAATGCGAGCTATAAAAATAGCACCGCTGACTCCTATTGCCATGTTATAAACAATCTTTCCGTCGGTAGGTGGGGTGCTTCAAGATGCTCCAAATCCAATATAGGTAACAAACAACGGATAAATCTATATAAATCAATGTTGAATAAAAAAATTCATTAAATTAAAAACATTAAATTCTTTAGCAATACAACCCAGCAACTGGCCTATATTTTTTGTTGATTTTAGGTTTATTTTCAACCAATCAAAGCCTGGCTGGACTGTTAATGCTGAGCACCTATCAAAACATCCGGTGGTTGCACCACGAGTATTGCACCACGGTGGCTTCATAGTATTTTTTGCTGACACCATCGGGATATAAAAGCGAAGATGTATATAAACATTAATATTTGGAGGGTGAAGGTGAAGAGAGCCTAGGTAAAGAGGTGACTAAAGAGGTAAACTTCATAAACAAACTTAAAACTTCCCAACGTCTTCGGTATAATTGTTAGTGCTCATGGAATATTCTCGCCCGAATATTCTTATGTTAGCACTCCCTTTGTATTATTCTTGACGCCTTGCTAAAGCACGAAAGCAAAGTCCTCAAACATGTGAAATGAAGACAATTTTAAGAACCAGTCGTTTTTGTTGTTGTTATTATTATTATTGTTGTTGTTGTTTTGATCATATTATTTTTATTATCATTATCCAGAGTTTCACATAGAAGAACGTTGCATACAGTAAAATAACCAGCATGGTGCTAAAGAGGAGCAAGCAAGGCCTGAACACAGGCTGTTCTATGCCGAAAGTTGGACCATGGGTGTCAGTGCAGAAGTGTTGGAGGCAGCATCACACCTCGGAGTACAAGGGTGGCTACATCATTAAAGAAATCTTAACACGCTTGTTTAGTGATGATCGAGAGGACTATCACAGGGAGATCGAAGGAGAGTTTACTGACATTATTCAAGATGGCGGTTTGAGACTGAATGCCCGTTACAATGGACTGGATGTTTTGTATTCTCTGAATAAAAGGAAACGCTGGCTTCTTCCCGGAACTGTTAAGGAAGCTATCAGTGATGCAGATGCTCAGGAAGTGGAAAAGTCCAAGCTGACATTGTTTGAGCGCTCTACCTATTCATCAATGATTAGTCCTCGTAGAAACCGGTTCATAGCGGACTGTATTGGTTACCATGACAGCAAAAGAAAATTTCCTAGCACGTACCCCAAGAGTAAAAGAAGTTATATCACTGATCTGAGACGCAATGGCATGGCGAGAAATTCAGTGGGAAAAACAACACGGGATAGAATGAAGGAAAAGAGGAAGAACAACACCCTTAGAAAAATAAGAGGAGCTCAAAGGCACCAGGTGATGTTGCAGCCACAGGAAGAGAAGGAAAATGCTGAAACTGAAAGGTACAAACAGTATATATACAAAATATCAAGAAAGTCTACTAGAAATCTTGTATCTAAACATTATTTTCTTAAAATGTGTACAAAATTTAAATGTTCAGGGAAAACTACTTTTATTGGNAAAAATGGAAAAATATGATGAAGGTTTGTATCACTGTTTAATTAACGCATTTGAAACTACAACTAACACAATATATGCAGTGCACCTGAATCAATATCCAATCTGTTCGGTCCTAGCCAATCACAGATACTCCTCTTGTAAACTCCCTTTTCATTGGCTACATCTAGCATCCCCTGACTTCCGTCAAGTGCATCCAGGTTTTTAAATCCCAGTTTCTGAAGCTGAAATTATTTTTTAAATCTTAACTAAGAAAAATCTCAGGTTATTTTATTTGGTGTCAAGCCACAATATATGAACCGCGAACGTCAAGATGGAAGTCCCCAATGGAGCGAAAAAGAATAATGAAAACGGAGGTATATCCTTGACTGAAAAGCCTATATACTAACTCGAAGTTTTAAATAATTATTTAGCCAAAAGAGTACATACTTCTTCCCCGACAAGGCCGGACCCCGCCCCAGCGTCCAATATCAGAGCATCTTTGTTTTCTCCGAGCAGCAGAGCGACTGACTGTGCACTCATCTCTGCCCCTTTGTATAGAGAACCCTGTAACAAAGGACTGGTTTGTATCATCATTTATTCCCTACAATTCTGTCTATTAATTGGTTTATCTTCATTTGCTGCTTTTGACGTGAAAGTTGTGTGAATGTATCTGAACCAGTCTTTTATATTCTTGGACTTCAGCTGCTGTAAATGGGATCAAAAAGCTATACATTACCATGCTTTTGTCATAATCTGCCGCCCACTTGTCGTAGATATTGGCCAACTCTTCTCTGCTGTTTCCACTCTGGGTTGCTGCAGCGATGCAAGTCCATAAATCCCCTTGATTTGCTGTAGACATTTTTACAGAATCCTGAAATACACATGTTCATTCATTCATATGCTTATATAATCTCTGTTCACTGCTTTGATATTACTTACAGTATCACCCTGACCCAGCATTTGCATTATACTTACCATGCTAGAGACATAGGCCTACTACGAACATTTTTGTGAGAAGACACTCTTATTTTAATTTAATTTTAAGGCAACGTCATAAGAACACTAGTGCAATAAGTAATTACTGATACTTCACTACAACAAAACAACAAAAACAACAACAACAACAACAATAATAATAATAATAATAATAAAGATAAGGGGAATGCAGACTAAGAATTGTGTTGAATCATCAGAAGTGTGGTGTCAATTTCCCGCGGACCCATATCACCCTCCTCTTATTTTGTCAATGACAAATTGTATGATGAATAAAATTGTATTTACTGCTAGAAATAATACTTTCCACACTGCTGACCACGACCAGTGGCATGCTTCACGTGCTGGTACGTTTTATAAAACTGGTTCAAAACTGACCTTGGTCCCGGTACGCTTTGATGTAGTAAGTCGAGAATCGGGTATAAACTTTCAGCAATATTTCCAATGGGCATGCACTGTTAAGACCACTGCAACTATGCAAGCTCATGTGCATATGACCCGTAACTTTTTTCTGTAGGTTGTAACGGGTCACCTTATCACTGATACTCTGGCAGTGTGGAATATTTTAGGTACACAACCGAGCTGCTCATAAATCACATCTAATACAGGTCAGTGACCAGCAATTTCAAAGGAGGGACTTTTTCTGAAAAAGTGTACCTTTTACAATAAAATCCCCTTGTACCTAGGTCAAACTTTACCTAGGTAGAGTGGACCTTTTTCCACCAAAAAGGGTGATTCTTTCGACCCCCCTCCCCCCTCTCCCCTGTCTACGTGCCTGTAAGACGTCCTTATATTTGGACAGCATCAGGGATTTTTAAATTCAGATTAATATAGTGTCATTATGACTGATGATGTCTTGATTACACTATTAATCAAGACATCGATTACAGTACCCACCTTATACGCTTGTTCAAACGTGACGACTGAATGCCAAGTCACGTGCCGACAGCAGTAAGGGGTCACAGTTCCCTGATGATGTCCTTGTGACAAAGGAGGAAATGTCGAAGTCTCTGCATTAACATCTACCAGATCTACGTAAGTATCCAGTATGAATGCAAAAGGTTGCAATGGACTATTTGTTTTCAGTGATGTAACAGAATACTGACCGTCAAGCAAATACTAGTATTTGGCACGGAATACATTAAAATTCAAAATAAGAAAATAGTCGTTCCATCCATTATTAGTATAGGTTGTGTATGGTTGTTTGACTCACTGCCGCCACTGTGTGTTTATGTGTTGTATATAGCTTAACGTATAAATGTACAGTATGTTGATACGCTTTGGTTGTTTAGCACCACGCGGCAAAGTGTGTGTGTGTTTATATAAAGTCATTAACTGCATGTGTCGCCGCCGTCGTCGCCGTGTACTTTCAGAGATTACACGATAGATGGCACTATCTGACATGGCATGATGTTGATGGCCAATTGTACATGTACAGGAGAAATCGACATCACATGTAACCTTTTATTTTGTTGAAAATGAGTCAAAATGTGTAAAGTGTGGTGTTATGCCAAATATTGTATCTTAAAAGTCAACAAGTAAGATGTCAGAAAATATTGTTAGTAGAAATGAAAAGGATTTTGTAGTTAATGAAGAATTAGCAGCTGTATCAGTAAATGGAAGTCCTGGCAAGGCAATGACAAAGCTGTGCCACAATTTCAGATGAGAAGGCCAACTACACACACTGGACAAAAGAAGTGTCACCCCCTAACTTAGAGTAATAAAAGTAGGCAGATCTTGGGTACTTATTATGCCTGGTCTACTTATAATGTGACTAATGAGTATAAAACCGCTAAACCATTGAATTGTATTGTTGGTCTTGTACATGTACAGCAAATGTTATTCCTGTCTTCCTCCAATATGGCAAGATACAGGCAATTATCTAACGGTTATAGGTGCAAGTTATTAACCTGAAGAGGCGGAATATAAGCAATGTCAGAATATCGATACAATTGAATTGTTCAGTCAGAACCGTGCAGAGGGTCTGGTCTCGGTATAGAAACACTGGATCAAGAGACAAATTGCCTCTGATGGGTCGTCCAAGAAAAAATACTGGCCGTGAAGACCGACGACTAATTTTGATGTCCAGGTTGTCAAAGTTCGACACTGCTTATCAGTTGACAACACAGTGGAACAATTTCACACATAAGAATGTGTCTGTGAAAATTGCTAGGCGTCGGTTACATACTCAGAGAGTGTACAGCAGGGTAACAAGACTGAAACCTCTTATATCGTTACAAAACAGGCAACGTAGAGTAAACTAGGGTCAACAGGATCTGGAACTGGACAGTTCATGACAATTGGTCCTATATATTTTTCTGATGAGTGTCGCTTTGGTCTGACCTCTGATGACAGACGGGTATTATGCTGGCAAACTGCTGGTAAAGCATTTGAACCACGTGCACTGAATTTTCGAACCCGGAGCAGCATATTCATCATGGTGTGGGGCTGCATCAGCATCCATGGCTTGCGCGAATTGATAGTGGTTAATGGAAACATGAATCACTAGAAATATATCGATGTTTTGGAGTCAGGCTTGCTACCATCTTTTACTAACATGTTTGGTGACAGGAATTATCCATTTGTTAACCAGGATGACAACGCTCCTTGTCACAGGCCCAGAGCAGTTGATGATTGGTTTGACCAACAGGACATTCGCAGGGTGATGTGGCCTGCATAGAGTCCGGATGCAAACATAATAGAAAATGTGTGGAATGATATGTCAAAACTTTTTACAAATGCCCGTCTAACCAGCAGAGAAACTCTGTTATATTCAGTTTTTCATGCTTGGGCCAGCATAAGCCCTGAACGCATCAGACAATTATATGAAACCTTGCTTCGTAGACTGGCACCTATTATTAGGTCACGTGGCTATGCCACTAAGTACTAATTTTGGACTTGAAACTGCATATTTTGGTAGAATGTATANTAGATTGACGATGGAATCCATTCTTTAATATCATCTGTGCTCTCAATGAAGTAATTTCCAGACGTTTCAACGCAACTGTTCAATTCCTGCACTTTTTTGTGCTTTTTGGTTTAAGTTAAATTCAAGGACTCTTATACAGAAACATATATAGAGAGAGACAGAGAGAGTTTTTTTTTTGAAGATTCTTATGTTTAAGTACCAACATGCCAATCTCTTGCTCATTTCTGATGTATTTATCTTCTCAATTCCCAGAGCAACCTTGGTAAATCTAATGCACGTCACCTCGTGGGGATTCAAATATCTATAGGACATTCACCTTTGGAGTGTTTGGATAAGCCGCATCCAATAGCAATGAAAACTTACTGCATGATATTTGAATATTCTATTTTTAACAGATTTCAAACTTATGTACGCTGTTAAAAGCGAGTAAATAACCATATGAATAAACAAACAAACAAACAAACATATAAATAAATAAATAAATAAATAAATAAATAAATAAATAAATAAGTTCACCCTAGGTGGACGGATAACGCTTTGGGGTACCCAGACATTTTGCTATATGCCTTAGCATTGCCAATACCTCTCGTAGTTCTGCTATGCCGATACGATCTTTTTAGCGTTATACAGGGTGATGCGAATTATTTGAGTAGCAATCCAAAATAGCGCTGAGCGTGTTTGAAAATAGCCAAATTTGAAAATATGTGGTTGCGTGCAGCTGTCAGTTCACAGAATTTAATTAAAGAAAGTAGGCCCCTAAATGCTGTTCAGTACGGTTGCTAATTATCTTGCGGTCTGTATCTGAACAAGACTTAACCTTGTCAGGGAATAGAAACGTTACGCTGGTTTCACGCAATTTTCCTCCAACGCGTTGAAGCAACTAAGGCAAACGAAGCTTTCGATTTTTCTGTCAAACCATATACTGAAGCAAATTTAGAGGTGGAATTCGGACAGGAAATGTTCAGTCCCTGTACCGTGTAGGGTAAATGCATCGTCAGTTAATTCAGCTTTGCAAAGGGTGACAAGCGCCGGGGGCAACAATGTTTACAAACACTTCTTAATGGAACACATATTCACGATGGCAGAAAGTGCATGTAACGTCACAACCTTTAGCATATATCAGTGCTTAGTAAATAAAACAAATACCAAAAGGGTAGGGGGCAAACACCATGCATTTCGTTGCATGCGCCATTTTACTGACTACTGAAAAAACCCTTTGTTAAACAATTTCATAGATTCATTTAATCATGACACACGCACGTGCAGACGAAAAAAGCGACTAAAATCTTTAGGCCCGTCCATCAAACCATTAAAAAGCATAGAAATTTACTCCATATTGTTCGCGTTTGCATTGAAGGTAATTTTTAGTACATTTGGACACCTTTTGGTGCATCATAATTATTGCAACGTTTCCAACGACGTTAACTCGCAATTTTAGACAACTACTACATGGCATATACAAGTCGTAAAACAACAGTTAGTGTAGTATTAACATCGCTTTATTTCGATGTTACTATATAACCTCACACGCATAAATCAGGTGATTCTGTTGGACGGCGTAACATTTCAGGAGACACCGTCATCAAAGCATCCACAAAGCCGAGGTGTGCCGGATGCGTTAACAACAAACGCATTTCCAGCCGCACCAGTCTCACCTAACACAATAATATTCAAGTAGGGTGTTGGTTTCTTCACAATCCCCACACAACATTTAACTAATTCAATCTCAGATTCTCTTTAATTTAACTGAACTCCGCTTTGACCATGGCAAGTATATCTCATTAATTTAGATGCCTTTTGATTAAATTTTAATACTGTATGTAATTATATACAATACAGAAGCATAAATCCTGTACAGATATGGCTAAAACTGCATATTCAGAATATATATATATATATATATATATATTTTTTTTTTTTTTTTTTTGGTATTATTAATATTTCATCAGACATTACCATAAAATATTACAACCATGAGTGAGGTATAGAGTGAAAAACTCGTGTATTTTGCTATAAAATGAAAACAATGCATTAGACTGCTCTAATTCTACTTACAATGTCTTAATACTTCTATGGGATTACCAAAATTAAGCTACTTAAAATGAGTGGATTACAGTAAAATGTATGAATAAAATACAAAAAACATCTGATACTTTGGAAAATTATGCTGAGATAGGTGCAAAATATATTTTAAAGTGGAGGGTTGAAAAAGAAACTTCACCTGCAGAATTTTTCAAACATACAGCATAATCTAGATCTAAGCACATAAGCACCTTAACGTAAAATTAAAACTGTTACAGTTTCTTTTTGCTACAAGGAAATGAAATGCACCAACAAAAATTTCAGTTCACTGCTCATAAAATCTCTGCACAAAGTAAAGCATTCAATCGTGATATGATTGACATATGCACAAAAAATAAGTACAAAATGTAATAAAATGTAAGTTTACAAAATCTTTGAAGTGAACACATAACACATTTTGTCAAATCCAAATAACATGTACGACCAAATGCAAATTATTTAAAGTAAGTTTAAATAGAAGTGTATATTTATGCAACAACAATGATAGAACTATAATTGAAATACACTACACTGTTCATATATGAGAGTTAAATAAATTATAATGATAATAATAACAACAATATCAATATTGTAAGTTGGTTCAGACTGACAAATCAATGCCATGATAAAGCACAAACCAATTAGTGTAAGTTGACTAAATAAAGAGTAACAAAAACAGGCAAAAATAAAAGAATTATAAATATCTATCTATACATAATTGATATGCATAAGGTGTGTCTCATCTTGACTTCTCCTCACGAAAGTAACATGGTGTGAAAGATGAAGGGATGGATTATAAAATTCTCTGAGAAATTGGCTCGAGACAAAATAATTAAACGTCTGCCCCCCTCCCCCCACCAATGATCCTCAGGACTCATCAGAGTTGTACAAAAAAAAATCTCAAAATTACGCAAAATTTTAAAATTCCAAAGAAAAGCTCATGCTTGTGTAAAGAACCAGTATTTCACCACACAATGAGGATGAGGCTTAGAATATCAAAATTATACTCAGCTTTCCTAAAATATCTGGAGTTCAAAATATCACTGTTAATCAGAATAATGTGACGTACTATCTGAAAATATACACATTTTCTCCACTTTTCATCAAGAGTAAGAAAAAAAAAATCATGTAACATTGTAAATGCTACCATATAAAAATCACACTGGTAAGTTTTACATCTTAAAAATTAGATTTTTTACCTTTTTAAGTCTGAAAATATATCAAAAGTTGTTTTTCTTCTAAGGACGAAAATATCAAGTATTTTCCTGTTTTATCCTATGAATATAAGATTCACACACACCTACTGTGTTAGAAAAAAAAAAAACACTTAATTTGAAACCTGATTATTTTAAATACACCCCTGATTGAAAAACAGAGCTTGATCTTTATGGAACAACTAACATAAGTTCAGTAAAAAATATCTTGAATTTCATCACACTTTTAGTTGGTTTGGTCAGAATATTATGCAAACTTTTGTTTCATCCACATTTAAAACAGTTAACAAGAGAACTGAATTTTCTTCAACACATCAGAAAAGCAGTTAAAAATAATATCATGTGTTAAGATGCCTTTAAAATTATTGCACATTAACATGGAATAGTCAATCATTTCAGTGGATATGGTATTAGTGAATCTATGATTTATACCAAGTACATATAAATCTGTATCCATCCACTACCTCTCAAGCACCATACAATCAAGCCAATTTGTGTCTTGTCTTTCCTTTAAGGAAAACAGTCATCTATACAGTATATCTTTTCTTGCCTAAAGCGCCACCTATGCTTCACCTGAGTCACCTGTCTTAGTATTTGACTGCAGCATCATTGGTTCTTCTTCTCCTAAAATTAAATATTAAAAACAGAAGGTTCAATACAAATTTTCTTAAAATGTATTTAGAAAATTCATCCATGCATTATAAAAAATAAAATTAATCAATTAACATGTGATTAAATAAGCAGTATGCAGGGGCGGACCCAAAGATATTTTCTGACAGTCTTCCAAATTATCTTTGTTGATTCATCCTTCATTTTTGAACGTCTTCCGACAGAAAAAATTAGATACCCATCAATGTAAACTTGAAAATCTGACCGTCTTCTGGGTCTTCCGGAAGACGGCCTAAATCCGCCCCTGATATGTAAATAAAACAACAAACCTTTGCCCTCTATCTTGTATTCCATTAATTCCATCCTCTGCAGGTCTTCAGGTTTCAGCCTCTGCCTTTCCATGTTGAAGTCGTCACACTCAACAAGCTCATTGTGGTCTAAATAAATAACCAACAGATATCAACATTTCATTAAGCATTTCTACCCCCCCCCCCCCCAAAAAAAAAAAAAAAAAAAAAAAAAATGTACAGCAATTTTTATATTTTGGTTGGTTCTTGCTTGACCAGATATGCAAGTGGACCTTTCAAACAAACTGGACAATTTCAAATTTCAGTAATACCTATATGTGGGGCCAAGGGAGCATAAATACAACACAAATATTATGATAATTCAGATTTCTGGAGAAAGCTGGAGGACTTTCATTTCTACTTAACTAATAGATGACTAAATACAAAATATTTCCAAAATTATATTTCCTCTACTTTTTTTTTCATATATATATATATGTTCCTTTCATAACACACCATATCAAACAAGATCTGATATACATATCAGCTTAAACCAATGCATTTCAAAATCATAAGCTGAAATAGTTGAAACAGATTCACCAGTAACGAGTTAGGTAGTTGTTAATTGGTAGCAAATGTCACTAATATTTTTGTCACAAACTATTTTTTACAATAGTTACATACTCACTATGAGATGTCAGCACCTTTTTCAAGCACTAACAACACAAGACCCAGTGCAGACTGAATATACAAGTATCATAATGACATAGAAATTTATCTTTGAATATCTTAAAGAATATTTTGTGAAAAAATAACATTATCTCATTTCCAGTTTATTTCAAAATTACCTTCCTCCAGTGGGTGTTTCTTCCTGTATATCTTCTTTGATTTTCTCCAGATAACAATAACAACACAGAGCAGTATCGCCATGACAACAATGACTATCACCATGATGACTCCTATGTGTTCATCTGTTATCTCAATGCCACCATCCTGGTTAGCCTGTAAGTCATTCTCTTGAGGAAAGACGGGGAAACCAAACAAATATTAGTATTTTGCATATCGGTACTTGTAAGTATTCTTTACTTTTTAAGATATTTTTTTAATTCACTTTCCTTTTTTGTCATATCTGTCCATGGATAATTTCATGCTTCACATACTTTAATCTAAATGGCACATGGTATCACAAAAGCAACAAAATGAATAATTGTTCAAAAATGCAATTTTAAGCCAAAAGCTACCAATATCTTTGACAAAAATCAAATAGTCTCAGTTATTTTTGGCAGTCATTAATTTGCCAGTGAGACTGCCCCCAAGAATAGTTGTTTTTTTTTTCTATCAGGTTTCACCCTGTACAAAGGTCTCAGATGTCACACTACTTACTTTTCTTGTTAGTGGGAACCTTGGGTTTGATTTCATCATCATTTGCATCAATATGGACAACAAGACCTGGATGTATATCCGTTACATTGGGCACTGGAAATAATAATGATAGTTAGTTTGTAATTTTTCATTCACTCTCATAATGAAGCTGTTGAACTTCATCAATATTGCTAAAAGTGAAAAAAAATCTAAAAAATGAACAATAAAAATATATATATAACCTGTAAGTTTATCAACAGTTTTGGATAAGATAAAACTTGGTGATTAAGAGAATTTGTTGAAATTTAAAGAAGTCAGAAGAACTTTCTTTTTATTTCTCTCTTTTTTTCTACATTTTAATTTCTATTATAATAATCATTTTGTTTAGCTTATTCCTTCATCTTTTTTGATCAGTTTCCCACAAAATAAATGAATCGCCTATCAATGTAAACTAAAGATTTCTGATTGTCTTCTGGAAGACCCAGAAGACCGCCTTCGTCATCTCCTGAGATTTACCCTCGGCTCCTCCTTTATCAAAGGTCACATAGCTCCCGTTGCCTTCCTGGCTGCCCACAGTGTAGTTGACACCATGGAAATGGTCATCTTCCTCAGCAGAGAACACCTAGATTGAAAAGGGGACACTTAATTTACCAAAATGTCATTCTGGACTTCTGCACCCGACTAAGGCATCTACACAAAGTTGTATCTGAGAGTTGGGGACAGACAAGTACAAGTGTGTGTGTGTGTGTGTGTGTGTGTGTGTGCGTGTGTGTGTTTGTGGTGAAGGGGATGGTGGGGTAAGAAAAATCAAGTCATATATGATAATGTGAAATACAGTACATATACCTGTATATGTGAAATGCGAGTGCTCATGATAATCAAGAACTCGGTTAAACATTCGAGCAAGTTCTAAGGATAAATCGTATTTAAAAAAAGGCAATTGCGTCTTTTCATTATAATTCTCCAATAAGCCATATGCACCATCCAATCTACGTCTTTAAATACCCACCAAATATTTCTGGAACAGCAGTATCACGAAGAAAATGCGAGCTATAAAAATAGCACCGCCGACTCCTAGTGCCATGTTATAAACAAACTTTCCGTCGGTAGGGGGGTGCTTCAAGATGCTACAGATCCAATATAGGTAACAAAAAACGGATAAATCTAGATAAATCAACGTTGAATAAAAATTCATTAAATGAAAAGCATTAAATTCTTTAGGAATACAACCCAGCAACTGGTCTATATTTTTTGTTGATTTTCATATTTGTCCAGTAAGAGTTTTTTTTTCAACCAATCAAAGCCTAGGTAGGCTGTTAATGCTGACCACCTATCAAAACATCCGGTTGTTGCACCACGAATGTTGCACCACGGTGGCTTCATAGTTTTTTTGCTGACACCATCGGGACATGAATATAAAAGCGAAGATGTATATAAACATTAATATTTGGAGGGTGAAGGGGAAGAGAGCATAGGTAAAGAGGTGACTAAAGTGGTAACTTCATAAACAAACTTAAAACTTCCCTACGTCTTCGGTATCATTGTTAGTGCTCACGGAATTCTTATGTTAGTATAGCACTCCTGTTGACGATATTGTTTTTGACGCCTTGCTAAAGCATGAAAGCAAAGGCCTCAAACATGTGAAATGAAGACCATTTTAAGAACCAGTCGTTTTTGTTTTTGTTGTTATTATTATTATTGTTGTTGTTGTTGTTGTGATTATTATTATTTTTATTATTTATAATATTATTATCCAGAGTTTCACATAGAAGAAAGTTGCATACAGTAAAATAACCAGCATGGTGCTAAAGAGGAGCAAGCAAGGCCTGAACACAGGCTGTTCTATGCCAAAAGTTGGACCATGGGTGTCGGTGCAGAAGTGTTGGAGACAGCATCACACCTCGGAGTACAAGGGTGGTTACATCATTAAAGAAATCTTAACACGCTTGTTTAGTGATGATCGAGAGGACTATCACAGGGAGATCGAAGGAGAGTTTACTGACATTATTCAAGATGGCGGCTTGAGACTGAATGCGCGTTACAATGGACTGGATGTTTTGTATTCTCTGAATAAAAGGAAACGCTGGCTTCTTCCCGGAACTGTTAAGGAAGCTATCAGTGATGCAGATGCTCAGGAAGTGGAAAAGTCCAAGCTGACATTGTTTGAGCGCTCTACCTATTCATCAATGATTAGTCCTCGTAGAAACCGGTTCATAGCGGACTGTATTGGTTATCATGACAGCAAAAGAAAATTTCCTAGCACGTACCCCAAGAGTAAAAGAAGTTATATCACTGATCTGAGACGCAATGGCATGGCGAGAAATTCAGTGGGAAAAACAACACGGGATAGAATGAAGGAAAAGAGGAAGAACAACACCCTTAGAAAAATAAGAGGAGCTCAAAGGCACCAGGTGATGTTGCAGCCACAGGAAGAGAAGGAAAATGCTGAAACTGAAAGGTACAAACAGTATATATACAAAATATCAAGAAAGTCTACTAGAAATCTTATATCTAAACATTATTTTCTTAAAATGTGTACACATTGTAAATGTTCAGGGAAAACTGTACTTTTATTGACAGTTTTTCTTGACAATTCCCAGAGAGATGTTTCCATATGCCAGTCCTCATGTACCGACAGATGGTCCTGCAGAACTGAGATATGAAGTCTGTTATCCCACGAGACCTGTGGCTCACATGCTGTGCAAAGATGGTCCCTTCAGATGGGGTAAGTTGAGTCAGTCTGGACTTTGGCATGTTTGTATACAGGGTGGAGCAAGGGGTTTGACCAGTCATCTCTGAAAAGAAGGTCCCCTCAGTTGGGAGAAATACTGTATTTCTTTAAACTGATACCTGGGCAGGCACCAGGCGTGGTTTGAAGGGGGAAGGGGCTGGGGGGGGGGGGTTCAGGAGGTCATGACTCAAAATGTGCAGTTTTATATTACTTCTCAGTTAAGATCAACTAAGGGGCCAGGGTAAACAGGTCCATGTTTTCAAACCCCCTTCCCCCATCCCCCTTTTAAATTACAGGTTACTCTACCAGTACTGGTCCATTTATTTAAAAGAAAATAATGATTTCTGTTGTATTCTATAAGGACAGTAGTCGTCATCACCTTCCACGTAACATTTGCAAGGACTGTACCTATGCAGTGCAAGTCAATTTTTCTGGAGTAATAATTTTGTCAATTATTTTTTTTTTTAATTATAGATAGGTCATGGCCATTGAATAAAGCAAAGTCCAAGGGAAAAGGCAGACGAAACAACCCTGATCTGACCTGGTATCATTATTGTAAAAAATGGGAATCATATGACGGAGTTGACTGGTTAGATGATGAAATTCTTTTGGATGAAGAAAATGTTTCTGTTTGTTCACAAGATGTCACTGCTGATCAAGATGAGGGCTATTATTCCAGTGGTCCTGTAGACGGCACTGATGATCAAGACAATCCATATAAAACTTATAAGCAAGCAGAAAAAATTACTAGACCGTTTACTTTATCTGATTTCCTGACAAATGTTTCTCTCAAGAAAAAGTCCATGAAAAAAGAAAAAAGGAATTCCTCTAGGGTAAAAGCCACCCACCCTAACCTAATCATGAGTGGTAGTGATATTGTAAAATTTCACTCAAAGGGAAGCATGGTAATTCTTATTGATGAGGACTCCAGAAATGATGAGTACAATGTCAGTGATAAAAATGACCAAGACACAGGTGAAGATAGTGTCAATGTCACCCAGGATGTCATCAATAGTGCATTTGATGACACTGACACTCATCACGCTGTAAGCGACATCACCGTGACAACAGACAGCATCAGTGACAGTGTCATGCGTCAGTACTTTGGTGGCAGGTACAGAGAGTCTTATACAGTCCCCCGTCGGTTTGTCATCGATATCAGCAAGGACATCAGTTCTGGGAAAGAGGAAGAAATCTCGATGTTTATCATCGCTGAGTCACTAGGCAGTATTGGACATGGTGGTCTTGGTGATACTTGTGATAATGGTTGGGATTTCTGTGACTTTGATATTCAGAAAGATACTAGTACTGGTGTTGTGCAATTAAGGTTAGTAAACAGACTTGCAAGTTATTTCATTTTATTTTTTGCAATGCTGATGGAGAAATACATGAGTGTAGCAGATTTAAGATAAAAAGGAAAAATTGTAAAATATGAGAAGAAAACTAAGAAATAAGGACTGTAGTTTTCCGAATTAAACTTCATTAGCAAAGTTACATGTACTATTAGTAATTGTCTGAAATATGCTTTTCCTGCTTTTTCTTGTTATACCCCAATTACTAATATTTTTCTGCTTTTTAGGGTACAAGTAAAGGGTGACCTTTCATCAAACACAGCAGATGTTCTTCAGAGTACAATGTTTGACTTGGCTTCCACAGGACCATGCCCTTTCCATGATGTTGTAGAAAATATTGTACAGACACTTGGCCAACTTGACGTTTGTTCTGAGAAAAGAAAGAATTTCAGAAAGAAATTTCAGTCACCACAAAAGTTTCACTTTTCACTTCTGCAGACAGTTTGTGGCTGGAAAATGGAGAATTATGATGTGGAAACGAGGTCACTTTTAGATATCCCCCAAAAGGTAAGATTTTTTTAAAATTTTTTATTTTGTAATTTAATCTTATTTTCTTGGAAAAATGTTCCAATTCTTTAAAATGCTCAGTATGCAATTGATCTACTGGTAAGAGACTCACATTTTCTGAAAACATGTTTTTATTTTTATTTATTTATTTTTTATTTTTGGAAGATCCACCATTGATATAAGTATTTTAAGTAAAACTGAAATATTTTTGCCGTCCATACTGTCAGATTTCAACCAGGAACTGAGACTATTAAACTATTCCAGGATCTGCAAGACAACTCTCATAGAAAAACAGCCAGTCTGCCATCTTGTACCCCAGCATCAGACGACAGGTCATGTGATATCTGTTACAGTGAACTGACCAATGGGGAAGCTTCTGCCTTGTTGTCATGCCAACACTGGTTCTGCGTAGACTGCTGGAGAGATTATCTTCTGTCAATCATAAAACAAGGTTTTGCCAACCTTGTGTGTCCTGTGAGTGAATTTATTTATTATTATGATTTTGTAAACAAATTCTGTTGATGATGATGCAAAGAAATAAATAAGTACTTGACATGTGCTTATGGATACTATGTAAATGCACCAGTATCTTATCTTAATATGTGGGTTATATCAAAGTTTACATGTATATTGTCATATTTTGACAAAATTAAACTGAATGTGTTCAGTCTTTGATTTGCTCTTTTTCGTTTATTTTAATTGATAGTTGAGAAGCAAATTCCACACATGCATGCACCCACACAATTTATCTATACCAGTAGATAATTACTGTAAGACTGATGAAATCCATACAGTGAAAGTAGTACTAGTACATGTAGTTGAGAAACAATGCAAACACACACACACACACACACACACACACACACACACACACACACACCTTAATTTCACATACATTTGAACATTGATGAATTGATGGGTTCATTTCTCAGGCGTACAAATGTTCAGAACTGGTTGACCCGGCCACCGTCCTCTGTCTGGTGCCGTTACCAGCCTACCAGCTGCTGGAGCAGAGGACACGAGAACTCGCGGTGGACACCAGCCCCCACCTCGCCTGGTGCCCCAACCCAAAATGTGGACGTACCGTCCAGGTGCAGAGGACACAGGCTTTTCTTGGCCAGACCCCCTGCGTTGGTTGTGACTGTGGAGCCACCTGGTGTTTCGACTGCCATGAGGAGGCACACTGGCCAGCAACCTGCGACTTGGCGGCAAACTATCAGAAAATTCTTAAACAGAATGGTACGTCTGTATTATATGTCACATTTTAATTCTAATGCCACTCTAGTGTTTTACAGTTTTAAGCAATAAAAAGTTTTTTTTTTTACTGCTCTTAGCTTTAAACTGCTGTTGAATTTAAGCAAAGATTTAGAAAATTGAAATAATTGCAACTTTGTAAATTTGAAGAATGATATCCATCATGCATTGAGCATCCCTGGCTCTGACAATTGTGCCTCATATCTGTAGGACATACAGGAAAGAATTGTAACGCGGGTGAGGACAGCTACTTGTTTTATGTGAGGGTCAAGAAGTGCCCTCACTGCAGTTACCCCATGCAGAAAAATGGAGGCTGTCAACACATGACCTGCCGTTGTGGACAAGATTTTTGCTGGGAGTGTTTAAAACCCTGGACTAGTAACCATCTGAATTCGAGCTGCTCCTCAATGGCCAAAAAAGAAACCGTGAGTTGAATGAGAGTTTTATCTGTTTAGATAAATGAATTCTATTATAAAATGAATTATTAATTTTTAATTGAATTTGAATAGGCCTAATCTCAGATACATGGTGGAGCCTCTTTCTGCAGTAGCTTGTTGTGGACTGTCTAACAAAAATTGATGCTTTTTATACTTAATTATATTCCAAAAGTAAAGTATAATAATAATAATAACTGACTTTAATCTTAAAACGGCTAACCTTAAGATATATCCAGTTACTAATTTTCTGTCACTAAACGTACTTTTTTTTTTGTTTTTACTTGACACTCGATATTAGCAAACTGATTATTTATAAATTTTTTTCATTATTCCTTGACTTCCTTTATGATGAATTTTTTTTTTTTACTACAGCAGCTGTTACAGTTCATAGTCTAGTAGATCCCTGTACCTGGAATTTATATGATGTATTTATTTCCAGACTGTCGAACTAGATTCTGCACCCAGGTGGATGTTAAGAACCAACACGTTTTATCGTCAGTGTCTCAGACATCGCAGAGCGTGGAAGAGGTGGAGAGCAGAGCATGCAAGACAAGCCGCTGTGAACTGCTGCCACATTATGAAGGTAAAAACTGCACAAATTATACTTTTAGGATTTTTAGATTGTTGTGCTTGCACCTGAGTTGGTAGTTTTTAGCTAAGATATTTAAAGGTACATTCGAAGTGAGAGTCAGTGGAGCCTGGGGATTAACTGAATTAATCACTCTATCAGCCATTAAAAAAATTAAGAGTGCACATTCTTCAAATTTTTGGTCATTTTTGTCTACCCCGTTTATATACAGTACTGAAACCAAGCAAAAAAAAAATCTCTTCAGTTATTATTTACTATGGAATATGAAACATTGTCTTTCGATCAAACATTTTACATTAAATTATGTAAGCTACATCTTCATATTTTAACCAGGTAACACCATCTGCAGCAGATTTCATATATGATGTCATCAAACTTAAAGCTGAGGTAAGTTTTTTTTTTCTTTTAACTATATGCTTATTTCTCAAAAGAAGTATAACATATTCTATTAAATTTACTGGGTAATTTTTTTTGGTAGGAAAATTAGAAAACCAGAAATACTACCAGAAATAGATATTAGTATTAATAAGAGTATAAGATATCGCTGTTTAAATTTAACAAGTAAATGTTTTTTACTTACATTCAATCTGTTTGTTTTTAGTACCATATGGTTATGGAAAATGTTTACACTATCATGTGCACTCTGACAAGAAGACAACTAGCCCAGAACAAACTTCTCTTCAGCTGTCTGGAAAGATTGGACTTTTTTGCCTCACAAATAGAACAGGTAGGTGAAGAACAGGTGGGGTTTTCTGAGAGGGGAGGGAGGTGGATGTAACAGCCTTAAATTAAGCTCTGTTCATGTGGCAAGCAAATTCATGTGATGGAAGTTTAAAGAGACAACTTGTGATTGAGAAAAAAACATGAATTAGAAAAATAGCAATAATTATGTAAAACATGAAATTAAATCTATATAAAAAATGAAGGGGGGAAATTGGTTTATGTTCCTTGGGTCTACATCGGAACACACTAAATTCTGTAATGTAGCTGTTATTTACCACAATCCTTCATTTCTGTGAAAGCAAGCACTAATCTTGCTCAGAATGTTGACAACCCAGATAACTAACTAGCTGAGGATTTTGGGATATAGAACCAGCACCCAGTGACATCTGGTGGACATTTTTTCCAAGATGGCCTCCAAAAACATAATGGTATACATATTCATCCATTTATTAATGTATTTGTTATTCCAGATGACCAGTGGTCAGCCCCAGACTTCCTTCAGCTTAGTGGTCAAGAGGCTGACCATGCTGTCCACTATGGGGGAGGACTGTGTCCGTCAGTTGGGAAGACTTTGTGTCAAGCTGCAGAAAGAAAACTGTTTAAATTTGAGATAAACTTTCAAGAGTTCTAGTACACAATGAAGGCAAGAGGATAATTGGTCACATGTACTTTTTTTGTCACAAACTTAGATTTTTTCAAAAACTTAAATGAGATATCAGTGCACCAACAGTCATTTTAATCAGTCGCAATGTGACACCAGTGGCATTTTTTTAAATGTGAGACAAAAGTGCTTTTGATCTGCAGGATGATAAATCATTAAAAAGAAAGAAAAACTTCTGCCACAACTCTATAGTTTATGCAGACTAAAGCTGTCTGATTTTTACTCAGTTAGATTTTTCTTTTAGTCAAATCAATATTTCTTTATTATACATGTTTTTAGAATATTTTAAGACTGTGATATACATATGTGATTTATATAATGTAAATGTTATGTCTTATTTCAGTACCATTTGATGGTATTGGTGCTATTTGAACATTCCTAACTGTTTTTTAGAATTAAATGATGGTGTATATCATAGCATTTGTCATGGAGGGTCATGTGTAAGATAAAGTGTATACAGTTAAACATGTTTTAAATTTTTTATTATTATTGTTAAATTTAATATTTCACTTGTTGAAGAATCAACATAATGCTGTTTACACTATTATTAGTTTACTAAAACATAGCAGTGAGTTTTTATTCCTTTTTTTTACTGCAGATTCTGTGATCACTGTGTGTAAATTCTTGTGAAAGATTGAATCTATTTTGTGTTGCTTTATGATGTATAGGATTCAGCACTACGCAGAACTGGTTTCTGTATTTTACCTCCAAAAGTGTCAACATTACCACGCAGTAGTACACTGACTAACCAGGTTTTATGTTTAATGTGGTACTATTTGGTCTTGTTACACTGTATAAAAATATTTAATTTTGGAATATCCCAATGAATATTGTTACTTTATTTATTTAAGCTGTGGTTTTCATTTTTCAAGAAATAAATACTTATACACTACGACCCTGAATTCCCTTTACTGCAAAACGTGACAGTGTTGAATTTACAAAGGTTTGATGCAAAAGCCAATAGAAATGACTGTTATATCACTTAATTTTTTCGTCGTTCTAAATACAAAATATATTATTTTCTTTTTACACCCTTAAATTCGGGATACAAGTACTTGGCTCTGTTGACACGACTACGAAAATCACATGAGACATGCTTAGTTCGTGTTTTATAACNATCCCCAGTAATGCATATTATGCACCCTATATTAGTTTCTTACGTGACTCGAATTTATAAATAAGATGTGCCAAGAGATAAACTGGGGATTAACTGAATTAATCACTCTATCAGCCATTAAAAAAGTTAAGAGTGCACATTCTTCAAATTTTTGGTCATTTTTGTCTGCCCCGTTTATATACAGTACTGAAACCAAGCAAAAAAAAAATCTCTTCAGTTATTATTTTCTATGGAATATGAAACATTGTCTTTCGATCAAACATTTTAAATTAAATTATGTAAGCTACATCTTCATATTTTAACCAGGTAACACCATCTGCAGCAGATTTCATATATGATGTCATCAAACTTAAAGCTGAGGTAAGTTTTTTTTTTCTTTTAACGATATGCTTATTTCTCAAAAGAAGTATAACATATTCTGAATTTTACATTTTCTTGGTTTATCACTCTTAGTTACTCACAGATAAACATTTAATATAACTTGATTTATTTTTTTAAATATTACTATTTAAATTTACTGGGTAATTTTTTTAGGTAGGAAAATTAGAAAACCAGAAATACTACCAGAAATAGATATTAGTATTAATAAGAGTAGAAGATATGGCTGTTTAAATTTAACAAGTAAATGTTTTTTACTACATTCAATCTGTTTGTTTTTAGTACCATATGGTTATGGAAAATGTTTACACTATCATGTGCACTCTGACAAGAAGACAACTAGCCCAGAACAAACTTCTCTTCAGCTGTCTGGAAAGATTGGACTTTTTTGCCTCACAAATAGAACAGGTAGGTGAAGAACAGGTGGGGTTTTCTGAGAGGGGAGGGGGGTGGATGTAACAGCCTTAAATTAAGCTCTGTTCATGTGGCAAGCAAATTCATGTGATGGAAGTTTAAAGAGACAACTTGTGGTTGAGAAAAAAACATGAATTAGAAAAATAGCAATAATTATGTAAAACATGAAATTAAATCTATATAAAAAATGAAGGTGGGAAATTGGTTTATGTTCCTTGGGTCTACATCGGAACACACTAAATTCTGTAATGTAGCTGTTATTTACCACAATCCTTCATTTCTGTGAAAGCAAGCACTAATCTTGCTCAGAATGTTGACAACCCAGATAACTAACTAGCTGAGGATTTTGGGATATAGAACCAGCACCCAGTGACATCTGGTGGACATTTTTTCCAAGATGGCCTCCAAAAACATAATGGTATACATATTCATCCATTTATTAATGTATTTGTTATTCCAGATGACCAGTGGTCAGCCCCAGACTTCCTTCAGCTTAGTGGTCAAGAGGCTGACCATGCTGTCCACTATGGGGGAGGACTGTGTCCGTCAGTTGGGAAGACTTTGTGTCAAGCTGCAGAAAGAAAACTGTTTAAATTTGAGATAAACTTTCAAGAGTTCTAGTAGACAATGAAGGCAAGAGGATAATTGGTCACATGTACTTTTTTTGTCACAAACTTAGATTTTTTCAAAAACTTAAATGAGATATCAGTGCACCAACAGTCATTTTAATCAGTCGCAATGTGACACCAGTGGCATTTTTTAATGTGAGACAAAAGTGCTTTTGATCTGCAGGATGATAAATCATTAAAAAGAAAGAAAAACTTCTGCCACAACTCTATAGTTTATGCAGACTAAAGCTGTCTGATTTTAACTCAGTTAGATTTTTCTTTTAGGCAAATCAATATTTCTTTATTATACATGTTTTTAGAATATTTAAAGACTGTGATATACATATGTGATTTATATAATGTAAATGTTATGTCTTATTTCAGTACCATTTGATGGTATTGTAAGGTGCTATTTGAACATTCCTAACTGATTTTTAGAATTAAATGATGTTGTATATCATAGTATTTGTCATGGAGGGTCATGTGTAAGATAAAGTGTATACAGTTAAACATGTTTTAAATTTTATTATTATTATTATCATTAAATTTTATATTTCACTTGTTGAAGAATCAACATAATGCTGTTTACACTATAATTAGTTTACTAAAACATTGCAATGAGTTTTTATTCCTCTTTTTTTTTTACTGCAGATTCTGTGATCACTGTGTGTAAATTCTTGTGAAAGCTTGAATCTATTTTGTGTTGCTATATGATGTATAGGATTCAGCATTATGCAGAACTGGTTTCTGTATTTTATCTCCAAAAGTGTCAACTTTACCACGTAGTAGTACACTGACTAACCAGGTGTTATGTTTAATGTGGTACTATTTGGTCTTGTTACACTGTATGGCAATATTTAATTTTGGAATGTCCCAATGAATATTGTTGCTTTATTTATTTAAGCTGTGGTTTGCATTTTTCAATAAATAAATACTTATACACTACGACCCTGAATTCCCTTTACTGCAAAACGTGACAGTGTTGAATTAACAAAGGTTTGATGCAAAAGCCAATAGAAATGACTGTAATATCACTTAATTTTTTCGTCGTTCTAAATACAATATTTTTTTTTCTTTTTACACCCTTAAATTCGTGATACAAGTACTTGGCTCTGTTGACACGACTACGAAAATCACATGAGACATGCTTAGTTCGTGTTTTATGA